GAGAGAGAGAGAGAGAGAACAAAAAGTGAAAAGGATTGCTTCTATTATCCCCTTTTCTAATAACTTCCCTTTTGCCCTCACTATCATCCAAATTTAATGCTACTTCTTGTCATTCAGATCTCTTCGTCAACACATGCAAACCATTCGTCAAACCATGGGATTGTTCCACTAATAATACCACCTTTATCTTCCCACCACCATCACAATCAATCTCTCTAATCATGCATCACCATCGCCCATCTTCATGGACAACTCTATCTCCACCACTCCACTTCAACCATCTTCTTCCATGCCCAACCGGAGATCACCCCTTTCTCCTTCCTCCACCACCATCTTCCAATTCTCCTCCATCATCACTCTCATCCCACGGTGGTTTCTTTAAGAGGGTGGTCGATGGTTTGCAGTTTGCTTATGAGGGTAGTACTAGTACTAGTACTAGTACTACACCACCATCGACCCACCACCACCTAGGGTTTCAGGTGGTTCAACATGGATCAGACCCATTTGGGATTCAGCCTGAAACCGGTAATAAGATCATGACTGCTCAAGAGATGGTCGATGCTAAAGCTGTAGCCGCCTCAAAAAGCCACAGTGAAGCTGAACGAAGACGTCGAGAACGAATCAATAATCATCTCACGAAGCTTCGCAGCTTACTTCCCAATACCACCAAAGTAAGTCTTTGTGTTCTTTCTTTAATTAAAAAGTTCAATAACATATATATATATATATATATATATACATAAAAGACATGCTTTCTATATATACTTAATTAAAACACCATCTTTTTTCCTTTGTAACTTTTCACATTCATACACACATGGCATACAAGATGTGTTCATACATTCCCATTACCATTTCACATTTGCAAAAGCTGTATGAAAGTTTATTGATACTTGTTTTGAGAACGAACAATTGGGGTTTGATCAAATTGTGATAATTGATCGACAATACAATCAATATTTGGTGAATTTTAGTACAAATTTCATGTTTTCGATATAGATTTCGAGACAACTAATATTGTAAATGTCGATGGATGGTGTAACTATTTTAGACAGACAAAGCTTCGTTACTTGCTGAAGTGATACAACACGTGAAAGAGCTCAAACATCAAACGTCAATCATAGCCGAACAAGTTCCAGTTCCAACAGAGATAAACGAGTTGACCATAGACAACACATCTGATGAAGAAGGTAGGTTTGTGATTAGGGCATCATTATGTTGTGAGGACCGATCAGATCTCTTGCCAGATCTAATCAAGACACTGAAAATGCTTCGATTGCGAACCCTAAAAGCGGAGATCACAACACTTGGAAGACGTGTGAAGAATGTTTTGTTTGTAACAGGAGAAGAAGATCATTATATTAGCAACGGTGATACACAAATGGTGAATCAATGGATAAGTGTTATAGAAGAAGCTCTTAAGGCCGTGGTCGAGAAAACGGACGATGGAGATGATTCATCTTTCGGGAGTGTTAAGAGGCAAAGAATGAACAAATAACGATACATATCGTTATCTTCGGGCATCGCAGGTCTGGTTAATTAGTCATCTTTTTCCATATATAATGCAATGGAAAAAGATGACTAACTAATTTCGATCCGGGCTTATACCTTCACGAATTTCTGTTGTTTTTGCTTGAGATATCGGGTTTAAGTCTGTTGGTGTTTTCGGGTTTTCTATTTTAATATGATATGAGATGATGCAGCGATAATTATGGAGTCATTAATCGTCTTATTGAATAAGATATAGTATGGTGATCAGTTTTCATTGGATGCCATTCATCCGTATCTAAGTCTGAAGATAATATATTTAAACCCAACATAACCAAAACACACACTTTATTTCATCAAATTTCATGTTCTACCAATTTATTCAATTCCTCGTATATTATAACTTAATGTTTGATTTTTCAGTAAAATTATAATGCGTAATAGGTTACTCGATCGATATATATTCTATGTTCTGAATGCATGTTTGTTAGTAGTTTAACGAGTTTAGTATATCTCCCATCTTATTCTGTCATCTATATACATTACAATAAAATTGATTGTATAAGACGCCTATACTTTACAAAACTTAAGTTTGTAGGATTAAACCATAAAACATTAAATTTATCTAAAAGTGTTGCCGTACGTCTATAGACGCTTAAAAACGTTTTTACATGTTTTTTAGGATGCTTTTATAATAATGTGTTGTATTAAATGTTTTATAGGATAATATGAGAACAATGTCATATGGAATCATTTTATTAGACATTTTTTTAAATAGTATTGCTTAAAATAGTTAATACGACACTTTATTGTAAAAACATTATAATTAATAAACTTATTGAAACACTTAAAAGCGTCATAAACATATTATAACATTATTAAATAAGAAGTTTTTTGTTTTAATCTTTTAAATTTAAGTCTTATAAATTATTTTTATGAGATGTCATGTAAAATCATTTTTATTATAATCATACGACTGACTCTTAGTGATTCAAATGAATCATAATCCCTCAAGTTTGAGGAGCATACGTCATCATAACGCATGAGGTGACGTCATAATGAACCCTTCATTTGGCGAGTGGTGGTAGTGTGGTTCTCATCATATCTTTCGATAATAAAATATATAAATAAATAATGGGGGACCAAATAAGCCATGCGTATGACCAGACCACTACAGGGGTCTTTACAAAAACGTTTACATCATTTTATTTTTTAATCCAACAAAATAAAAAATAAAACCTTAAAATGGAACTGATTTCCAATATTTATTATATATTAAAAGACCAAAAATAATATAACTTCCCAAAACGTTGTTAAAAAAGTGTTATATCTTTTCAAAAAAGTACAAAAATGAAAAAGAAAATACTGATAATTAGGTTTTATTCATGATTCGAAAGAAAATATTAAATGGAAAATGTATTTTTAATTAATAATTATTTTATTTTTAGTTTTAGAAAGAATGTTTGCTTGCATCATCGACTCATGAGTTCTTTCAATGGACATTCTGTAGTCGGTTGTCGTTCCCTAGCTTTAATTTAACTTGTAAGATATGAGTTTTTTTAAAGAATTAAGAAAATACGACCATATAAACATACAAAGGCATAGTTTTCTCCCCACGTCTACTTATTATGGTTTAGTAAGATTTTTATTTAAATAATTAATCTCCTACTTAATAAATATAGCAGTCAACATGTTCACTTATCTATACTATATTATAAAACATTTGACAAAAACTCTTAAAAACATTCTCTTATGCATAAAGTGCTATTTATTAATGCATATTACTTAAAATTCAAAATTACAAGTAAATTGTGCATAAGTACAACTTATTAAAGCTCTATGTTTAAATTCGTGTAACTAACTACGGATAAACATAATTAAATAGAGGATAAACATCTCATTTTAAAATATAAAAAATATAAAATATAATTAGGATAATTATTGAGTTTTAACAAAATACTTAATTA